TTTGTATAGAAAAAAAAACAACCTCAGTGAACTGAGGTCCGAATTTTTTTTGTATAGAAAAAAAAACAACCTCAGTGAACTGAGGTCCGAATTTTTTTGTATAGAAAAAAAAACAACCTCAGTGAACTGAGGTCCGAATTTTTTTGTATAGAAAAAAAACAACCTCAGTGAACTGAGGTCCGAATTTTTTTTGTATAGAAAAAAAAACAACCTCAGTGAACTGAGGTCCGGATTTTTATTTGTATAGAAAAAAAAACAACCTCAGTGAACTGAGGTCCGAATTTTTTTCTATAGAAAAAATACCTCAGTGAACTGAGGTCCGAATTTTTTTCTATAGAAAAAATACCTCAGTGCACTGAGGTCCGAATTTGTTTTCTATAGAAAAAAATACCTCAGTGAAATGAGGTCCGAATTTTTTTTTCTATAAAAAAATACCTCAGTGATCTGAGGTTCGAATTTTTTTCTATAGAAAAAAGTAGTCGAACTGTAAGGTTCGAATTTTTTTGTCTATAGAAAAAAGTAGTCGATCCCTGAGGTTCGAATTTTTTTCTATAGAAAAAAAATCCTCAGTGAACTGAGGTCGAAATTTTTTTCTATAGAGAAAAAAAATACCTCAGTGAACTGAGGTCGGAATTTTTTTCTATAGAAAAAAAATACCTCAGTGAACTGAGGTCGGAATTTTTTTCTATAGAAAAAAAATACCTCAATGAATGGAGGTCGTAATTTTTTCTTAGAAAAAATAAACCTCAGATTCTGAGGTCTGATAGAAAAAAAAAAATAGACCTCTGTTCACTGAGTTATTTTTTCTATAAAAAATCAAACATCAACCTCAGTTCACTGATTTATTCGGACCTGTCTTCAGTGAGGTATTTTGTCTATAGAAAAAAATGCGACCTTTGTTCACTGAGTTATTTTTTATAGAAAAAAATCAGACCTCAGTGACTGAGATCATAATTTTTCTATAGAAAAAACCTCAGTGATTGAGGTCGCATAGACAAAATACCTCAGTGAGGAGAGATCCGAATAATTCAGTGAACTGAGGTTCGAATATTTTCTATAGAAAATAAACCTCAACAACTATGTCGAGAAAATTCTCAGTTATGGAGTTAGATCTGTGGCAACCCTGCTGCTAGATAGTAGGTATATTTATCGATTTCACCAATATTTATGTTCTAAAGAACAAAGAAAACATAGAAATACAAAACAAACAAATAAATATTTGTGCAGAAATGCGAAAAAGGAAGGAAAAAATGGAAAACAATGAACCGTCATCCGGTAGTAGCGTTTCGGAAAAAAATATATCTTGTCGCATAACCGTAAAGAATTGTAACGAACCAATGAAGACTAACAGTTCATGGTAATGCAATTTTCGAAAACAGGTAACGAGGGTTGTAGGGCAAAAAGTCGGGAAATAATTTCTTATCAAAAATGTGGTACAATATTCTAAGCAAAAAGCCTAGGAGAACTGATGAGAATTTGTGGCTAAATCCGAAAATAAAGTCTTCTTGGCTTTATTTCTAGAACTGATTATTTGGCAAGTAGATAATATATGAAGATGAATGAAGATGCTATTCCTCAACTGCATACCTAATACTTTCTCAGCTCACTTCTTCCTTCCCAAATTCTCTTTTTCTAGAATTTCAAATCGTCCGTCTTCTCAGTCATCCACTCATCATACGTATTCCTAAAACACCTCTTAATAATGTGTAACTGTTGCATAGTGGAAAACAGATACTATTTGTTTATTGATTGATTTATTGTTTAGTTCCCATTTTTTCAATTTTCTTTGCCAACAAAACATACACATCGAAAAAACATAATATCTTTTCACCCATACATCCCCCTCTCGCACCACAACACCTCTTGCAATTTTTCCCATATCAAACAATAAATCAACAATTGGTGCGATGCCTTCGCCAGCCCGTCACCCCACGAACCAAGCCCCATATGTCATTTATCGATGAGGGAGACACAATGTTTGTCTTTATATTAACCAGGTCTTGGTAATCATTGCCACTTGTGCAGTGACAAGCAGGCAGCCCAGCCAGCCAAGCAATGAGTGTATGTGGATGCACGCCTCATAGACCAGGTTATGAACTATAAAATCAACAACTTTGAACTTTGGTGACCAGGTGAGTGAGAGCAGTGCGCATTCCTATGAATGTGTGGTTGGGTCTTTGTCGGTATCATCATAATTTTTTGTTGCAATTATGGCTAGTGTTTTATAGTGTTTGTTGTTGTCCGCTTCTTCTTCTTCTTGCTACATTTTCTAGCTGCGAGTGTATAGTCTATATGTCAAAAAATAAAACACTACAAAACATAGAAACAAAGAACCAAAACGTAATAAATTGTTTAAAAAATGGTCTGAGTTTTGTCTCTGTTTTTGTTTGTTCTAAATTTTTCCAACTTGTTGAGGTTTGTTGTTATTATTTCTTGCTGAGGTGATTGTTCCGACACCTTGGTATGGTTTTGCTATTGAGAGACTAATTTAGGGTCTTTGTAAAATTTGATTTTCAACAAAGAATATGATAAACAATAATAATTTTTATGTATCCAACATATTCTCAGTAACTTTTCGTGTTCTGAGAAAATTATGTACTAAATTACTGACACTCAGTTTGGAAAATGGACTAGGAAATTCAGCACACCGAAAATAAGGTGGAACCTTTACAAGGCGCTATTTTAAAACATAGACCTATATCGAAAAGTTTTTGTGAAGAAACTTTATATTTACTTGGAATCCGGAAAACCTTCATTTCGTGTTATGTTAACACTTGTGCATATTCGACAATTTTCTGTAATGTTTTTCCCCATCCAAAAAACAGGAATGTGAAATTAGAACCACTTCGTTGGGAAAATGTGACTAAAGCCTTCGAAATATTGAAAATAGGATGAGACCACAAAATATGAACCATAGTGATCATTTCCTGCGTAGATGTTTATAACCATCCAGGGACCAAAAATGCTAATTCCAAGGACCAGGAATGATAATATGCAGGTACTTCGGTATATCTAAAAATACCATACCTCATACCTTAAACAAGTGAAAAGCGGCAAGTGCGGCCGGGCCCAACTTTGGATACCCTCCATCATAGGTGTACTGACAGTTACTTGGAACTAAAACATTGGGACAATCCATAAAGTGGACCAATACCGACAATTCTACCAAGCAATTTTTACTGGAGACTTTTCCTAAAGAATCAAAACCATAAAACATAGACCGATATTGACAACGCATGGTGGGTGGGATGGTGGCTGTTGATTCAATATAAAAATTTGCAGAAAAAAATATTTATATGCATACATGTCTCGAGGCTATACCCAAAGCGGGACCAATATTGATTACTTCGTGTAGGAATTACCGAACATTTGGAGTTAACATTACATTAGGTGCTATGGATAATTGAGGACCGATATAGCTCAATTTCGAACCTAATATTTTTGCATACTTCATCGGATGGCAGAATCGGCAAAATTGTCTTAGAATATAATAATTTCGAGAAAAGAATGTCCCCTACTATGGTGGAACAAGACTATATATTTTAATAAAAAAAGCGGTTTATTGGGGTTACGCCAGAAAGGGGGCTAATATTAATAACTTTTGGGAGGGAGATTTGCAAAATACGAAATTACAGCGAATAGGATTGAGAACCCCAAAATACCGAAAATTGGGCGGTACCCTTGTATGGCGGCTAACGGAAAAAGTACACCGATATTTATAATTTTTAGTGGAGACATTTGCTAGCCAATATGAACTCAAAGTACTTAATTGCAGCCATCTCGGTCGAAAAATACACTCAACAACTCCAAAATACCGAAAATTTGGGGGGGGGGGGGGGGGGAAATACCGGAAAACGGATATAAAAACCCGGAATACCAAATTACCAAAATGCAACTAAAACATTAAAAATACCAAAGTATCAGGCTACCAGAAAAAGTGCACCGATATTTTTAATTTTTAGTGGAGAAATTTGGTACCCTATAAGAACACATTGTACAAAATTTCAGCGAATCATATGGGGGCTACATGAAAAAATTGAGATATTTAGTACCCAAAAAGAACCGAAAGTGCCAAATTTCAGCCAAATCGGTTGGCGTTCAAAAACCGCCAAAAACCGAAAATTCGAGGGATACCGTTATAGGGAAAAAGAAAAAGTGCAACGTTATTTATAATTTTTATTGAAGAAATTTTGTACCCTATAAGAACATAAGGCTGAATGTGTAAAAATCGGGCATTAGCAACTAAGGTATTTATTTCTATACAAAATAATCGGACCTTAGTAAATGAAAAACATATCTGAAGATATGGAAAAAACGTGACCTCCGTTAATCCGAACATTTTCTATAGAGAACAATTTCTTAATCTCCAAGGCCGATTTTTGTTAAAAAAGAACACTCCAAAAACAACTGTTTCTATTTCTTCATTGTTAAAAAAATAGACGACAATAACTATGGAGAAATGTTCCTCTGTATATGCAAATTGTACCCAATAACAGAAATGTGAACTTATTTTTAAAGACAAAAGTGTTCTGTTATTGATTACAATTGTTTATACAAACGATTGTAGCTCACAGAGGACAATTTATCCATTTTTCCATAGAAAAAATCTCTCAGTTATTGTCGTCTATGTTTCTACAGAAAAATTTAACTGAGGTATGTTGTCTCTAGAAAAATATTACTAAGGTAGTAATTTATATAAAGGAAAAAACTTGTCAATATCTAAAGGCCTTTTCATATAGAACTATGAAGATTTTTTGTGCAAACCACAGTAACTGAAGTATTTGTTTATCTATAGAAGGATAATCCTTCTCATTATCACTTTTTTCTATAGAATTCTTTTTTTATATAACGAAATTAGTCTTTGAAATAAATATAAATATTTTGATTTCCAACACCACGTAATACAAAAAATATACACACACAATATAAAAAATAAAAATCTTAATTTATAGTTAGATTTTATAAAATGAATTCATTGTTCATTTATTTATTAAAGGACATTAACTAACTATAATTATAATAACAAAAGAAAAAACACAATAAAAAATAAAATCAAAGGAATTCATAAATAAAAATAATTCTTAAACACACAAACATTAACTTAAGCAAATGAAAACAAAATATTCAATAAAGATAATTACAAATTAAACAAAAACACAATAAGCTTAAATAATAATAAAAAATTATAAATAATAAAAAAGGAAAGATTAAACCGCCACCACACTTCACTTCATACTCCAGTCGGCATGAACCGTCAATTCACTTTCAAATATAAATATGGCATCATAAAAGACAAAAAAACAAGCCTCATTTTACTATGAGGACAATTTGTTTCATAAAGGATATTTTGTGGGAAATATTGGGATAATAGGGACGAAAAATATATATAAATAATACAGATTATGACCCATCACCAATTGGTTTGTTGTGCGTACTCACCATCAGCATTGATGGCCGCTGTTGGTTGGGCGCTATCAACGGGTTGTTGCTTTGGCGCAATTGGCGACAGCGAAGCGTCAAATGGTGCAGGAGCCGTGTTTTCTTGTAACTCCGCTTCATTTTCTGAAGGATTTTCAGCTATGGGAGATTGTACCACTGTGGGCAGCTGTTGGACTTTCTTTTCCTGCTGCAATGCATTGGTGAGGATTTCATGATCTTTCTTATTGCTGATACTGTGCTGGACACGTTTGTTTTTCAAATGATGAGGAGTATCCCTATGGAGAATTGAGAGCTTTTTAATAAAAAAAATATCCATTGAAAAAAACATTTCATTTCTTCTCATACCTTCTGTGTAGTTTCGGTGGTCTATTACGGAAATCTTCCTCATCATCGTGTTCAACTTGAAAACCAACACGTCTTTCGGATTGATCCTATAAAGGGGGAAATTTTTCAAAATTATTTAAAATAAGGATTATTTTAAATAAAGATTTCTTACATATTCATCATCCTCCTCATCGTCATCTTCATCATCATGCGACACACTACTGGCTGCTGTCATATTTTCCAATTTAGTTTCGGCAGCCCCTGACGATGGTGGTTGTTGCGCCTGCTGCTGGTTGGCATTGGTTTGTGTCTTCACAATCAATTGTTGTGTTTGCCCATGGAGAATTGCTTGCTTGAGTGATGGTTCCTCACTATAGTTACTAGATGGCGATGTTGTACTCTCCACAGTGGTGGAACTGTATTCTTGTTTTGAATTTTTCTATGGGAAGAGAACAATACGAATAGAGATTTGTAGAGTGGTGGAAAAAGTAAATTGTTAACAAAATGAGAACAGTTTAGTTGTTCGAATTTCGCTCACCAGGTGGCTACTGTTATCAAAATTCATACGCTTGTTCAGTGATGGAATATATTTTTAATGAAAAATTTCATCCTCAGGGAGTGACAAATCCTTCTCTGAGTCTAAGGATTCTTATCGAAAAATAATCATTACCCTCGATAACAGAGAATAAATACAGTCAAGGACAGAAGTATTTTTCTATGGAACAAAATCGTCCTCAGAAATTGACGTATTTAATCACCACATTGTTGTGTATCTTTTATAAAAAAAATAGTCACTAAGGTGTTTTTTCTGCGAAAAAAAAAACTAACCAATGTAACTACCTCTGACTGAGGTATTTTTCTATTTTTTCTGTAGAAACAAAAATCATTCATTCAGGGAGGTTTTTTATTTGAAGAAAAAAATAATCCTCAGAAAAAAAGGTATTTTTCCTAAGGCGAGTGTGTGAGGTTAAGTTCTGAAGATTACTTTCTATAGAATAAAGGTAATTTTTATAGAGAAAAAATATCCTTCATAAAAGTCTGGATTTAAATACGTTTTTAATCGTATTTTGGATGCTTATTAGACCATGAATTTGAAAGAATAGGAATATACCTGCATTTTTTTTGAACGTCCTTTAGTTCCTGGATTTTTATAGAATACATTTGAAGGTCTGTTACAGCCTGGATTTATTAAGTATATTTTGAAAGGCTAGCGAGCCGGTTTTTTAAAAATATATCTTGAAGCTCAGATTTATTAAAAAAAACAGTGAGCGGAGCAGTATAGTCGGACGGGGCCGACCATACGATACCCTACACAACTACCACGAACTCTAACTTTCTGAAGATGTTTATTCCGAGTCAGAGTAATATTTCGTGATATTTGCCCCCTTATGCCCGTTTAGAGGTCAACAACACCTCTTCCTTACTTTTTCGAATATTCAGTACAGTCCATCTAATTACTTGTCCAGATTACCTTCACGGTGGGTTGTGTTGTGATTTTCGGATTATACTCGACTCGAAAACACATAAAAAATTAAGTTTTCGGTCCATTTCATCCCAAAATTTTAATCTGATCATCACCGAAAATTGAAGACGTTGTTCTTGACCATAACTGGAACTTCATGAAAAATTTTAAAGCCATTAGTGCGATATTTCCCCCTTTAATGTGGTAATGGGTTACTAAATGATATCTGAAAACGTAAGCACCTGTAAATATTTGATGTAACTCCCACATCTGATAAGATACATCACTATATTTGGTATCAATTTAAAGGCCAACCACTCATCTTGGATATGCTATCAACTCCTCGGGTCTACATCCTCCAGGAGTAAATATATATGCCATAGAATACAAATTTTGTCATTTTTCACACAAAAGTCTGGGTCCATTTGACCGGCTAAATATTGACCGATCTTTATCAAAATCGACTAGCTGAGTCTAGATCGACTCAGCTAGTCGAGATATGACGATCGGTATACTTAAAGGTGGGTCTAGGACCAATATTTCGCGGCGTTACAAACATTTGGGGCTGCACAAAGCTATAATACCCTGACAACATAGTTGTGTAGGGTATAATAAAAGATGTTTTAGAGATCTAATTCTGCCTGCATTTTGTGAAGAACAACTGTTGGAGTTCTCTCGATTCAGAATGTTTTAAAACAATATTTTTAATGGTCATAAGACTCAGGATTTTTTAATATTTGTCAAAGGTCTATCAGACCAGAATTGAAAGGGTTTAGAGTTCTAATGCAACCTGCAGTTTATGAAGAATAATTGCTGGAGGACGTCTTTCGATTCAGAATTTTTTAAAACCATATTTGTAATGTCCATCAGACTTATCTTTTTAATGTTTGTTTATGGTCTATCAGACCCAGGATTTAAAAAAAAGAAACAATGAGCGGAGCAGTATAGTCGTATGGGGCCGACCGTATGATACCCTACACAACTTCCACGAAAATCGAACATTCTGTGGTTCTATATTCTGAGCATGGATAATATTTCGCTATATTTTCCCCTTCTTGGCCTACAAGAGGTCGACAAATAATACTAATATGCAGTGCAGCTCTTCAAATTACTTGCCTATATTCCTTTCCGGCTTTCAATCGTGGGCTATAGATCGACTCGAGAAAACACAACAAATTAAGTTTTCGGTCAAGTTCGTCCCAAACTTATTATCAGATCATCACCGAAAATTATAGGTGTTGTCCTTAACCATACCTGGATTCTCATGGAAAATTTCTGCTCTATAATTTCGCCCTCTAGTGTAGTTATGGGATACAATATAATATATGAATACGTAAGCTCCTGAAAATATTTATGCGTAACTCCTACATCCGAATACGTACGACAATATAATTGGTATCAATTGAAAGGCCAACCACTCCTGTTGGATTTACTATCGGGTCTATGTCCTTCAGGACTAAATTTGTCATTATTTACACACAAGTCAGGGTCCATTTGAACCGCTTTATGATCGGTCAATATTTAAAATTTCTCGATGTTCGGACCATAATTGCGGCCTCTAGAAGGTCTTCATTGGTCAGAACCCATCCTACATGCAAAATTTCGTGAAGATTGGTTCATAACTGTGGCTGGTATCGTGTTTAGAAATTATAATGGACAGACGGACGGACTCACATGTCTAGATCGACTCAGCTAGGCGAGATATGACGATCGGTACAGTTAAATATTTCGCAGCGTTACAAACTTTTGGGGCTGCACAAAGCTATAATATCCTGACAACATAGTTGTGTAGGGTATAATAATATTTTTTTGTAGTCTAAGCGTCAATATTTAAAAAATGATTTGTTGGACGTGTATCAGAAAAAAAACAAATATTTACTGAAGGTGTATCAGAACTGAACGTTTCTAGGTCCATTCAGACTTGCTTTTTTATAATGAATATTCTCCGGAGGTCTACAATACTTAAAACACATTTTTGGTGTTCCAGCGCCTCTTGAATTTATGAGTCATCCGTCTCAAAACCCTGATGGTTCCTTTTTACATCCGCAAATGAAAAAATGTGGGGTCAACGATTTTCGTAGCACGAAGAAGCGCTGACGCTTTCAAAACCCATGTTTTGAAGGTGTCTCAATGGAAGTAGATAATATGCTTCGACAATTGGTTTGATTTCATGAAAAATTGTATAAATCATTGTGGAGAATACTTTGAAATACAATAGCACCTTTTTTGATAATGAAATATTCGCATTTTTCATACATTAGTCCTCGTAGATTAAACATTACGATAAATTTTCAGTATGACCTACATTGATAGTTTCTAGTAGGAAAATTTTCAAGAGAGATTTTTTTATTTAGTCAGACTGTTTTTTATTTATATTTTTCATTTCGTGTTTTAATACCGAACGAACCAAATTTAAAAAAAAAACCGACGATATTGCCACCTGTTGACAAATAAAGAAATTGTATGGGTATAAAACATAGCTGAATAAAACATTGTGGTGAATTTCAATGGGTTAATGGCAAGACTATATCCCAAAGATATGTTGAAAAATGGAATAACAAAATTGCATGGCATTGCCAGGTTGGAAAATATTTTTTTTATATTACAGTCAGGTTCGAAATATCTATTTAAATGTTTAAAATCTATGGTTTCTAAAAAAAATTAAATTTAAAAATAATTTATAAATTATATATAGTACTCACCTCTTCCGAGAGTGGTTCCAAACCGCCAGCTGGGTCATCGGTACGATTTTTGGCCAATAGCTTTTTGGCCTTGTCACGCAACTCCTTGGGATGTGGTGTATTTTGTCGGGTAAATGTGGAATCTTTCTCGTGGGTCGGCACATCGGCATTGAATTTAACCGAATGTGTGCGAGATGATTCACGTTCTTCCCAGCCCTCCGAATCGGATTCTAATTCACGAGCTGATGGGAGTGGACAAAATAAAATATTTATAAATTAATTATATATTTCATATATAAAATATTAATATATGCATGTATTTACAAACAATGATTATAATAATAACAATAACAACAAATCGGTTAATATTTCTGGTTATTGTCCGAACATTTTGCAAATATATTTACAGAAAAATATGTTTAGCATGCAAGATACTTAACTTATATTTGCATATACTCGACTAGAATGTATATTTAAATAGATGAGTAATATGAGTATATATGTCAGTATAGATATGTAGGTAAATATACTTAAATGTACGAAATAGATATGAAGGTTAGTGGTATAAATATATACAGCAGCAACAGTAAGTAAATATTATGGTAATAATACACTGAACGAAATTCGAATAGGGACTGAGGTTTCTTTTCACATGAAAAATCAAATTTTAATGAATGACGTATTTTTTCTATAGAAAAAAAAAACGGATGATGTGGTTTTTTTCTATAGAAACAAAAATTGGACCTCACTGGCTGTACCTTTCCTATGGTGCTGAGTTATTTTTTATAGCAAAAAATTCACATTAATTGCTGAGGCATTTTTTTCTATAGAAAAAAATTGGAACTCACTTGATGAGGTATTTTTTATAGAAAAAAATCGGAACTCAGTTGCTGAGGTATTTTTTCTATAGAAAAAATTTGGACCTCAGTTGCTAAGGTATTTTTTCTATCTCGGATCTCAGTATAAGAGGTATTTTTATAGAAGAAATAAGACGTCAGTTAAAGAGGTATTTTGTTCTATAGAAAAAATTGAACTTCAATTAAAGACAGTTAAAGAGTTGATTTACTATAGAAACAAATCGGACCTCATATAATGAAATATTTTTTCTATAGAAAAACTATCGGACCTGAGGTAATGAGGTATTTTCTTTTTCATAGAGAAAAAAAATCGGACCTCTGTTACTGAGGTATTTTTTCTGTAGAAAAAAATAGGACCTTAGTGACAGAGGTATTGTTTTTTTTTCTGACAGGATTATTTTTCCTATAGAAACAAATCTGACCTCAATGACAGAAGCATTTTTTTTTTTCAATAAAAAAAAATCTGACATTAAATTTTTTTTCTATAGAAAAAATCAGAAAAATTTTTCTATAAAAAATCATTTTTTCTATTGAAAAAATCTGTGTCTGAGGTAATTTTTCATAGAAAGAAATTAGACCTCAGTAACTGTGGAATATTTTTTCGAAAAAACTTGTCCCTATTTTATATAGCTACAGTGTTCTGGCACATAATCAAGTGTTTTTTGGGTTGTGAGAACATTTTTGTTTTATTGTTGGGGCTTGAGAGTTGATATTTTGTAAATAATAAAATAACGTTAACATCAAAACAAAAACAATGATTCAATCACATTCGAGTAGAGCTCAAGCAAGTAGACATGCACAGAGATACACACACACTCGCATTATACAGGCACATATATTTCTGCGTATATATATTTATTCAAATGGGGCAAAGTAGTAACCAATGTTATTAGTATTGTAATATGTATGTACATATTTATCAATTTAAGGAGGGGCTGAGGGGGGAGAAATTTACACTTCGGATAAAAAGTGCACATACGTTGGAAAATTATTTTTATTTCTCAAATAAAATAGAATTAAATTTGATTTGATTCAAAATGTATTGGAATAAAAGTTTGTAATATTTTTTACAATAAATTAAAATTGTATATATACAGAGTAATTTTCGTGCTCTCAAAAATCTCCTTAGATTTTCCTTAAAACAAACCCGCAATTATAGCTTGAACGAACTTCATGAACTATCAAACGCCAACTACAATACAAAATATTAGCTTCAAAAAATTTGAAACTGTAGCATATGGCCCATTAGAAAATATTCCACGATCTTGGACCTGAAAGTCGTTCCCAACATATTTTTTAACATTAAGGCCCTTTAGATTAGTGGTTGCGTACTTTTTAACATCACTGTGAATACGTAAAATCACTAGAATTTCATCTATGTGAAATTGATTACTTTCTCTTCCTCGATCTAATATGTAAATCATCATTATTGTTAAATAATTTATTCAAATTATAGTGCAAAGCAAATTCGTAAATTTTTTATGACGGCAAAAAACTGGGAAGGGTCATCAGGGCTAAAATCACAAATTTATGAATTTTGTTTTAAATATTAATAGTTGTTCGACAGTAGGTGCAGTGGAATTTTTTAGAATACTTTTTAAGGACTTTCTTAGCTATAAGCGAATTTTTTAGGGCTACCAAAAAGAGACACCGGCGCGAAGCCCTTAAAATTTGAGATTTTGTTGGACTATCCGACCTCAATCGTGAATTCAAAAAATGTTTTTGTAATACTTTTAAAATTATAATAATTGAGTTTCAAAAATACAGTGGTTTTCAGATGAAGAAGGGTAGTTTTTTTAAGGAATATTTTCCCAAGAACCATAATATCTATAAGCATGGATTTTTTTCATGGATATTTTTAAACGACCTTCTTAGACAGGAGCTTGATTTTTTAACCATAAATTTTAAATGCTTTACTTTCAAAGAATATTTCTCCGAGACCATACGGCCTAAAATCGTCGATTTTTAAAATAATATTTTTCAAGGATTAGAAGCTAAAGGATATCTTTTCAATGAAGAGTCCTATATTTTTATAGAGTATTTTATTAGAACCTTCTAGCTTAAAGCTTGATTTTTTACAAATATTGCGTGGATTTATTAAGGCGTGGATTTATTAAAGAATATTTTTCAAGGGCCAACTGAGGCGTGGATTTATTAAAGAAAAATTTACAAGGGCCAACTAAGCGTGGATTTATTAAAGAATATTTTTCAAGGGCCAACTGAGGCGTGGATTTATTAAAGAAAAAATTTCAAGGATTATCTGGCCTATAAGGGTGGATTTATTAAAAAATATTTTTCAAGGACTACCTGGCCTATAAGAGTGGATTTATTAAAAAATATTTTTCAAGGACTTTAAGGCCTATAAGTGTGGTTTTATTAAAGAAAAATTTTCAAGGACTTTAAGACCTATAAGCGTGGATTTACTAAAGAATATTTTTCAAGGGCCAACTGAGCGTGGATTTATTAATGAATATTTGTCAAGGACTTTAAGGCCTTAAAGCGTGGATTTATTAAAGAATATTTTTCAAGGACTTTAAGGCCTAAAAACGTGGATTTATGAATGAATATTTTTCAAGGACTTTAAGGCCTAAAAACGTGGATTTATTAATGAAAATTTGTCAAGGACTTTTAGGACTTTAAGGCCTTAGAATATTCATCAAGGACCATCTTAGCTAAAAGCTAAAATTAAAGATATAGGATATTTATTCAAGGAAGAGTTTTTTAAGCGTGGATTATTGGCCAACGAGCTTGATTTTTGAAAAAATAAATTTCAAGGACTACTGCACCTATAAAACCGTACGTTTACCGTAAGCGAGGAGTTTTTGAATAAGATTGATTGTAGATATTTTTCAATTCTCCAGCCGGGATTTTTAAAGATTTTTAAAGGACATCTACAAGCCGGGATTTGGTAAAGAATATTTTTAGGGAACTCTACAAGTTTTTTCCACGACCTCTATATGACGGAATTTAATTCCACTGAAAATTTTTCAAGAATTTTTTAGAGATATTTTTCAATGCTCCGGGAGTTTTATGGAATTTTGAAAAGCTATTTTTTAGGAGATCTACAATTTTAAAGGGCCTCTATAAAAAATGTTTAGAGAATATTTTTCAAGGACCTCCACAGAATTTTTTAAAGCATAACAAACTGGGATTTTTAAAAAAATATTCTAATTTTCCAGGATTTTTAACAATGTTCTACATAATATTTTGCAAGGGCTTCTATAAGCTGGGATTTTTTAATGATATTTTTCAAAGACCTCTACAATCCGGAATTTTTTAATGAATATTTTTCAAGGACTTTTACAGCAGGCGTTGTTTTTTTTTTGAAGATTTCGTTTTTTTTTTAATATTTTTGAAGACTACAGCAGCCACTATTGGACAAGGACTATATTATATCAACTTCGTGTGCTTTGTGCCAGACTTTGTAATAAAGAATTTTTGTAATAAAGAAGATTTCATGTAAGAAATAATAATGGATCCTTTAAAAATAAGTTTTGAATATTTTTTGGGCTTTATTCGTGTTCCTTGTTCAATATATTTATATAAAAGGTATTTCTATAATATTTACTTAATAATATTTTATCCTAAATAGACTGTGTATATTCTACTCCATATGGCAGCCTGACATGTTCGAATACAGTATCTTCAGCTGATTTGGGACATACTATATTAAACCTCATCCATACCTCATAGTCTATGCTGTTAACTTTCTATTAACTATATTTTTATGAAAAAAAAAAATATTTTTTTCCATTAATGAACAATAATTCAAAATTGCTATTGACATTTTTGTTGGCCTTTTGATGTTTAAATTATTAAAATGTATGTAAATTCAATTAAATACAATTTGTCATTAACTATGACTATGGCTACGACACGAAAATTATAATAGAACGAGTCGAGCTGTGTATGTAAGTAAATTAACTTTTTAATATTAATATTGAAAAGCAGAAAAAACTAGTAAAGAGAAAAAAACTGCAACAACATCAGCCACAGACCGCAATGTAAAATTTGTAGAGGGGAAAAATAAACTTATAATAAGAACGATGATCGACAGCGGTTGTTGAACGGTTGACGTTGAGTCAAACAAAATAACAATAATGGCCACAACGACGATGATGATGAGGATGACGAATACGTCAAGTGTAGTATTTTCGTTTTTTTTTTATGTTCAGACAAAATGCCAAGTAAGGAGGAGCCCTCAAAAATTTAATAGACGAACAGTCAATGAGCCACCACTTTATTCCGCTAGACGTTCAACTGCTGTTGACCCCTAAAGTGGATAATATCATAACCATTTATATATACACATATGAAAATATATATAAAAAATGTGCCAACGTTATTTTTTATAAATGAATACACTTTAAATGACCTCGAAAATT